TTGCAGCAAAATATTTTTGTTATAACTTTCATTGAAAAATTCAAACGAAAATTGTAACGTTGAAATATTCGTTAGAATTGTTGTCGAAATTTCGCTGTAATATGTTTTCATTGGAATTTCATCATTTTCTTGTAGTAAAAGTATGTCTCCAAATCAAACTAAAAAATTTGCACTATATATAATATTGTGTGCAGTTAATTGTTTTGAAAATTGTAATAATGATACAAAATATAACATATTTAATGTAATTATCATTTAATTTATGATAATTAGTAATTAAAAAATACATATAAGTTGAAAAGTCCTTAAATATTTTATTAGTATTATAATAATTAAAGAAGAGGCCAGAATGATGTTCTACTGAAAAGGTAATATTAATACTAAACAAGATGTAAAAATGATGTTTAACGTAATAAAAAGGTAAAACTACACAACGAGAAAGCTTATAACTGGCATTCCACTCAAAAATAAAAATAAAAATGATAAAATTAATAAATGTCATATATCAATTGGAGCTAGCGAATGATAAATGTAAAATATACTTGAGATGCACATTTATAAAAAAATATGTTTATTTTTTTGTCTTAGAAATCGGTATGTTAGTCATAAGTTTTTAGTTAAAAAATTAGTTAATTTACACTATTAAATTTCTTAATTTTGAAATACTTAATTTTTTTTTTTGGTTACCCTTCTATATGTAATATACCATATCATTTCTTTCCCATGATATTTGATTTTACCAATGTTTTGTAAATAAAATTAAAATAATATAATTATTTATATCGATGTAAAATAATATATATATATATATATACCAATACCAATTTAAAATAATAAATAGACCTAAAAGAATCTTATAAAATAAATATAGATCCATGTTAAATTAATTTTATTAATTATAAAATAATATTAGATAAACTTGTGGTATATTTTTCTGACATAGATTTGAAATATTCATACTAAGGAAAAAGTCAACTAGATGTAATTGTACAACTATTACCAATATTAAATATGTGAATTAAGAGAAAAAAAAATAAATCGATTGTATGTTAAACTATTATTCAATTATTGCTTGAAAGGGAACGCCATAATGTTTGTAAAATATATTTTTTGTGAATATAAACATGAATTAGTTACTTAATATTTTATCAGAACATGGAAATAAATTCAAAACTTTTTAATATTATAAACAATATAAAACTACATTTTTATCAAGTATATTATTATTATCAAACACATAAAAAGAATGCATTGCATATAAATATTCTCTAAATCTTTCAAGAAATAAAATATTATTTGTGAATAAAATAAAAAAAAAATAAGTAAACCAATAGTAATGCAATGAGGAAAAGAAAAATTCTGAATTTTTTTAGAAAAGTATGAATACTAATATCAAGAAACAAAAATCTTTTAAAATTACTACTTTTTTTGTTGCTAGCATTTAAGTATATGTTCTCTATAAGAAATTAGTTCTCATAAATAATGATTCGATATTATCATAAAATAGACCACAAACTTTAATAATAACTTCATAATAATAAAGTTAACAGATGACTAAGAGTATCATAATATAGTATAATTCAAACTAGTGTGTGGCCCGTGCAATGTACGGGAAAACAATATTATGATTGTATTATAAATTAAATATATAAATAACATTAATCGTGATTTATCCATTATTTTTAAATTAAACCTTGTTGGACACAGCCCGACCAGATGGACCGAGAACCGGTTTAAAATCAATCTAATTCGCTTGAATAAAATATTTGCTCTCGAATCCATCAACACCAGTCGGTTGGACAGGTAGGATCGATACGATTTTCTAAATAAATTTTGTTATATTTAAAATTATTTTAAATAAAATTACATATTTAAATAAAATAGAGATTTATAAATTCCGACCAGATGGACCGAGAACCGGTTTAAAACCAGTATAGTTCGCTTGAATAAAATATTTGCTCTCGAATCCATCAACACCAGTCGGTTGGACTGGTAGGATCGATACGATTTTCTAAATAATTTTTTTATATTTAAAATATTTTAAATAAAATTATATATTTAAATAAAATAGGGATTTATAAATTATTTATCAATTAGTTTAAACATTTGAATTTATAAATTGTTTAGATATCTAAGTAACACATTTTGTTTAAATTTATTACAAAAAGTACTATATATATATTAAAATGTCTATAAATTAAAATCTGAATAAACCACAAATGATTTAATAAAATAGCTTGATCGTTTCGATGACAGTCTAGTTCTAAGAACTTATATTTACTGTACACTAATAAATATTATAATAAAATATTATTTAATTCACATAAATATTAATAAAATGATATATAAATATTCATAAATCATTAAACATGTTGTCATAAAAATATTATTAATACTATTATTTGAAGTTTGGACTACATCACATTCACGTAATATTTTCAATATAAAATTTATATTTAGGTTCAATAATCGATTTGGGGTGGTCGACACTGATATATAACTTAATCACCTGGGACCAACCAAGTTGTGTCAAGTTTTTTTGACTATTTTAAATACCACCTAAAAGTAATTCAATCAACCTGGACAATACCCAAATTCAATCACCCGATTGATCCGAAGAAATTTTCTTATTTTCTTTAAATATATTTAATTTTATGATTCATATAATAAATGTCTACACCAAATGATAGTATATTAAAATTATAAATTATATATCAAAAGATGAATTAATTATTTTTACTTTATGCATATTAACAAAAAATAAACATAGTAATTTTGAAAAAAAAAATAAGATTAATTGATTGATTATGCAATTTAAATAATATTTTTAGCATTCAATATATTTTTTAAAGGCACAAATATAAATACCGAGATTCTAAAACTTTTGTTATATTTTGAATTGAGATTTTATAAATATAGAGACCGAGATTTTAATGTTGTTCGTTGTTTCTAAGATAAAAATAAAAATAAAAACATTGTACTTAATAAATCTTAGTCGGATTTTTTAAATAATAAAATAAACTAAACCCGAAATTTAAAGTAGCAATTAATATTGTATGATTTTTAAGAAAAAATAAGAAAAATAATAAAACTTACTATTTATAGGCTGCATTAAATTTTGACCTATTTTTTTGCTACTATTTTTAGTAAATGGTAATTCTTATTATATATATATAGATATAGATTCTTCTCATCTGAAATATTTTACTTCTAAATATTGTCCCATTGTTTTGTTTTGTTTTGTTATTATTGAAGAATCAATAAAGGATCTTTATCTTTAATTTTTTAAGAATTTGTTATGATACAAAAGATTGGACAATAAATGCAATAAATGTTATTAGACACATAAATATTGCAGATCCGAAAGAATATGGAAGGTATCTATCTTCCAAATTAATAACACTGAAAAGGGAATGTTTAATACTGATTAAAATATTTTTGAATGTTGAATAAGTTGTCACTTTTTGATAAGAATTTACAATCATAACTGTGTATTGTGCTCGATCATACGCGCAATTGTTTTAGAGTACATATTTTCATGTAATGTGTGATGATTTCAAAGAAATAATTTAGCATCTTCATAGAAGTAGATGATTTTGGAAAATTAAATTTTATTTAGAGATGAAATTCGTTCATACCTCATGGGGTAAGTACCAATTTGTCTATGTGGGGAGAGAGAGAGAGAGAGAGAGAGAGAGAGAGAGAGAGAGAAATGTAGTAGTTTATACAGTGATTAAAAGAAATATCAAGAATTTTAATGACACAAATATCAAGAAATTTAGTGCTACAATTGTTTATTTCACAGAGATACTTATAAACTATTAGTAGAAATACCTTATAATGATCATACAATCATAAAGTTTGACTATATATTTGGTTAAAGTATTTCTAAGTGTTGAATAAAACAGACGTTTTGCAAAATTAATTAAAAATTATTTTGCAATACTATTAATGTATTAGAATTCAACGAGTATTAATGTTTCTTATGAGAACATCAAAGCCAAAATAAAAGAAAATGACTCTTGAATCTAACATAAATAAATAAAAGAACTCATATTGCATCTATAATATACATTATGTCTTTATTTAGCCATTAACTGTTTTTTCATTAAGAACTCATTTTTCATATATTTTTGTTGGAGTTGTAATATGATATTTAAATCTTTTTATATTACGACAACATTTTTTTATTTAAAATAAAATACATGAAAAGTTTATTTATTCTACATTTTATTTTGTTCCTCCAGTCATATGTGTAATAAATTAATTAATTTATCTTACTAAATTTAATCGGTAAAAAACATTCGTCGCCACGTGCATCGCACGTGCACTTTACTAGTATATGTAAATGTTGGAATTTTCTTTGGCTTTTTACTT